TTGTCTTGCTTGACCGTTAGTTGGTTGAAGATGGCTTGTCTTGTGGTAAATTTGGCGATGAACCTTGAACACGTGAGGACCGCCTCCATGAAAGTCAACAATCTTAGCCCCCTTTGATGCAAACGACAATGCGCTGTTGTATGAACGAACATTTTCACGAAAATTTCTGTAGTTGCTATGCTCAGGATTTGCTAGAGGCTCACGGAGAAATTGAGGATATTGGACCACGTTTCCATCGAGTCGATCGGCTTTTCCACTTTCACTTTGCCTTTCCGACAGCAACTTGTGAATTTTCCATCTGATGGCCGCTCAGCAGCAAAATTTCGTGAACCACAGAACTGGCAATCTACATTCAACGCGCCGCAGTTGTTCAATCAATTCAGCTTCCACAAAGTGATTTGCCTCAGCACGAATAGCTTGACTACGACATTCTTGTCCTGCGAGACGGATGATTAGTATTGCCAGCGAGGCGAGCTTGTGTCTGATGTGGAGTTTCTTGCTCTCAATCTTGATTTGAAGCTTTCGTGACTGCAGGAATCCATACTCTTTGGTTCTTTCGGTAAAGTCACGTAGGTGGAAAAATAATAGATCACGACATTTGGGGCGCAACACAAGCGTCCATCATCAGGTGGGAAAGCATGGTCTGCTACTGAGGCAGACTGTTTTAAAAGGTTTGAAATGGGTGTAGCCCAAGGGTCAAAAAGAAGTGATCGGGGCTAGTGATGTTAATGTGAGAAATTAGCATGTAACTGTAAGATATGAAAGCGGCATCCTCGACGAGGGCACGGAAGTGGCTATGTTAATGTGGGTGATTAACATGATGTTAATGTGAGAAATTAGAGGGCACGGAAGTGGCTATGTTAATGTGAGAGATTAGCATGATGTTAATGTGAGAAATTAGAGGGCACGGAAGTGGCTATGTTAATATGAGAGATTAGCATGATGTTAATGTGAGAAATTAGAGGGCACGGAAGTGACTATGTTAATGTGAGAGATTAGCATGATGTTAATGTGAGAAATTAGAGGGCACGGAAGTGGCTATGTTAATATGAGAGATTAGCATGATGTTAATGTGAGAAATTAGAGGGCACGGAAGTGGCTATGTTAATGTGAGAGATTAGCATGTAACTGTAGAAAAGGAGGAGAGCAGAGCAGCCTCCTCGAAGAGGGAGTGCAGCCCAATGGGTGCAATCCAAAGGACAAGAGAGCATGAGAGTGCAATCCAAAGGACATGAGAGCATGAGAGTGCAATGCAAAGGACATGTGAGCATGAGAGAGACAGAGAGTCGGAAATAACAGCTGACATTAGCAGGTAGGATGGAAACATCACAGTCAGTTAAGACTTTACCTGGTTAATAACGTCCTTCCAATGATTGCTCAGTTTGTTCCCATCTTCTCGGTTGAAGTTGTGTCTGTTTTTATATATCTGGATGGCTTTATGAACAAATCTCTGAAGGTAGCCAGTAGGTTTGCAGAGTACCTCCGTCTTGGAAAAATCTATTTCGTGTGAGCCCACAGCGTTAAAACAATGATCAGCAACGGCAGAGGTATTGGTCCTACCGTGGTAGCGAATGTTTTCATGGAGAAATTTGAGACAGATGCCATCCAGACATCCACCCTACGTCCTTCCTTGTGGAAGAGATACGTAGATGACACGTTCGTCATCTGGCCACATGGCCTGCCAGCACTGAACCAATTTCCCAACCACATCAATTCCATAAACCCGTCTATCAAATTTACCATGGACGTGGAAAAGGATGGCTAGCTACCATTCCTGGATGTTTTAATCGAGAAGAAACCTGATGGTTTATTGGGACATTCGGTCTACAGGAAAGCCACCCACACGGATACCTATCTAAAGCCTGACTCCCACCACCATCCATCTCAGAAGAATTCCCTCGTCAATACACTGCACCATAGGGCCCGTTGCATCTCCGACCAGCACCACCTAGCTAGTGAGTTGTAGCACGTACACCAAGCCCTCAGGATGAACGGATACTCGGACCGTACAATCCGCAAAGCTGCCTCCCCAGCCATGGCGAGACAACCTTCTGAGGATCCAACCAAAACCATCACTTTACCATACATAGCAGGGGTTACCAAAAAGATTTCCAAAATCTTAAACAAACACAGGATCCAGGTTCGTTTCCACACAGTACACAAAATCCGCGATTTAATCCCATCTGTCAAGGATGTGATTCCTGACATGCAATACCCTGGTGTCTACAAACTGAGTTGTGTTTGTGGCAGCAGTTACATTGGGGAAACGAAACGACATGTCTCGGACCGCGTTCGTGAACACAAGGCGGATCTGAAACACGGGAGGACCAATACCTCTGCGGTTGCTGATCATTGTTTTAACGCTGTGGGCTCACACGAAATTGATTTTTCCAATACGGAAGTACTCTGCAAACCTACCGGCTACCTTGAAAGATTTGTTCATGAAGCCATCCAGATATATAAACACAGACACAACTTCAACCGAGAAGATGTCTTAGAAAAGATGTCTAAGAAAAGCCATCTCTGGTGTGGACTAATCAATTTCAAGGACAGTGCATATCATTATCAGAGTTGTCTCTATTTGTTTGCATTTTGACTGCTTGTGTTGTGGTTATTGCAAACATGATCCCTTGTATAAAGGTGTCAGTTTTGGTGCCAGATAGAAGGTTAAAAACCTATTACTATATCTTGCTACTGGCAAATGAGGTCTCTTAATGTAAATGCTTACCCCGAGCTCTCAATACTCTGATAGTGCGGTTTTTGAGTTGTACGCCTTTTGGCGTCATCTGGTCCAACAGCAGTGGAGACTAGGCTCTAAGAAAAGCCGTCTCGGGTGTGGACCAATCAATTTCAAGGACAGTGCACATCATTATCAGAGTTGTCTCTTTTTGTTTGCATTTTGACTGCTTGTGTTGTGGTTATTGCAAACATGATCCCTTGTATAAAGGTGTCAGTTTTGGTGCCAGATAAAAGGCTAAAAACCTATTACTACTGACTGTGATGTTTCCATCCTACCTGCCTATGTCAGCTGTTATTTCCGACTCTCTGTGTCTTTCTCTCTCTCTATGCCTCTCTCTTAGATCTCTCATGCTCACATGTCCTTTGCATTGCACTCTCATGCCTTTGGATTGCACTCTCATGCTCTCTTGTCCTTTGGATTGCACTCTCATACTCACAGGCCCTTTGTATTGCACCCGTTGGGCTGCACTCCCTCTTCGAGGAGGCTGCTCTCCTTTTCTACAGTTACATGCTAATCTCTCACATTAACATAGCCACTTCCGTGCCCTCTAATTTCTCACATTAACATCATGCGAATCTCTCACATTAACATTACCACTTCCATGCCCTCTAATTTCTCACATTAACATCATGCTAATCTCTCACATTAACATTACCACTTCCATGCCCTCTAATTTCTCACATTAACATCATGCTAATCTCTCACATTAACATTACCACTTCCATGCTCTCTAATTTCTCACATTAACATCATGCTAATCTCTCACATTAACATTACCACTTCCATGCCCTCTAATTTCTCACATTAACATCATGCTAATCTCTCACATTAACATAGCCACTTCCGTGCCCTCGTCGAGGATGCTGCTTTCATATCTTACAGTTACACGCTAATTTCTCACATTATCACTAGCCCCGGCCACTTCTTTATGACCCTTGAGCTACACCCATTTCAAACCTTTTAAAACAGTCTGCCTCAGCAGCAGATCATGCTTTCCCACCTGATGACGGGCGCTTGTGTTGCGCTCGAAACGTCGTGATTTATTTTATTTTATACCTACGTGACTTTCGTAATAAAGCCTACGTGTTAAACTTCGTGACTTTACGGAAAGAACCAAAGAGTATTATAGTGATAGTATAATAATAAGTACTGAATATCGGAAGATTAACACGATCCATTGTAATTGATATGGCTACATTAACTCCCCTCTGGTCTGCGCACCTAATAAACTCACAGTGATGGCATTGCCATAGCTCAATTTAAACTGGACTTCTTCACAATTATGGTTCATCGCCTGATGAAGCTGGTTGTAATCACCAGCGAAACGTCGTACTCGAATTGTAAATGTGTGTGGGTTTATTCTCCAACACACCGGTATTCTGAAGTCGTAACAAATTGGCACGTTTTGTTTGCTGACAAACCTTACAAATTGGCTGTGTTGAGTGGTGGTGGGTTTAATGACACATTTTTATTTGCGCGATCGAACCAAAAAAAACCATGTTTTTATTGTGCACCACAGCCAACGGAGTATGACCAAATAATTTAACTTCATAGACACGAATGGCCAGTTTGCAACCTGTCGCTTACGTTGTGATCGAAACGTCGTCATTATTTTTATTTCATTTGCTTTAATATTTTTTCTATATTCGTGACTTTACCGAAAGAACCAATATCTTCTTTGGTTCTTTCGGTAAAGTCACGTAGAATGAGAATAAAATAATAAATTGATAAAATAAAATAACACAATAATATTCTCACGACGTTTCGGCCACAACACAAGCGGCCTTCATCAGGTGAAGGGGCGAGACTGTCTGGTAGGACAGCGCTGGAGTGAAAAAAAAAGAACCAATAATATGAATTCCTGCAGTCACGAAAGTTTTAAGTCAAATTCAAACATCTTTTTGCCTACGTTGGCTACTTTCAAACGGTGAAAGTTGCCACGTCATTATGAGACCTCCTTTGCCAGTAACAAGATATAGGAATAGGTTTTACCCTTTTAACTGGCACAGAAAAGGACAGTGCATATTATTATCAGAGTTGTCTTTTTTGTTTGCATTTTGACTGCTTGTGTTGTGGTTATTGCAAACATGATGCCTTGAATAAAGGTGTCAGTTTTTGTGCCAGTTAAAAGGGTAAAACCTATTCCTATTGTCACGTCATGTTCATTTTGAGTACGTGATGACGTAGGCATCTAAAGTGTTCACGAAACGTTGCGCAAGAGCACGCCAGTTTGCGTGATGACGTCATTACAAGCGTACGGTGGAAGTGACGCAATGACGCACGTTCCCAGCCCCTACATGTGAGCCTGTGAAACCCCGCGCCTCTCTCTTTTGCCACCATGGCGGACCGCTTTCAGAAGGTGCTCTGCGTGCGGGATAATCTCACTTCGTCGTTACACTGTTGCTTCGCTCTATTTTGCTTGTTTCTGGCGTGTAATGTTCTCGTAAACACGTCGATTTGGTGGCACTTATATGTAGTGGTTTCGTTTTTAATTACTGCGCGAAAGTTGGGTGATTGATATAGCATGTGAGGCCTTGGCCTGGTTGAGGCGAGGCTCCGCGCCTCTCACGTGGCATTAGGGTTAAATTTCTTGTTTTAAAATAGTTTTGTAAAATATTCACAGTAAACTAGCATGGTGAATAGTTGTTTGGTGACGCTCACTGTCGCTTGTACGGTAACGCGAGTAAACACTGGTAACAGCCTGCGTGCCCGTATTCTGTAGTGTACTAGCGCTTGTAGGTGGTTGTAGTTTTAAGTTCTGAATTATTTAACCGGCTTAAGACTCGTTGACTACATCGAGAAGCAGTTTAGTAATATCATTCTTACAAACTGGGAATTTCGTGGATAGGCAGGTCACCAACTTGGTAATGTGGAATGTCCATTGCCGGCTCTAGGCCCTTTCGCTAGACCAGACAGACTTGCTTCGACTCGCCTTAGTTGGGCAACCCCGGCCCTCTATGGCCTGCGTTTAATGATATCGCGCGTCTTTAACGTCTCATCGTAAAGTATTATACGAATCTATGACCACGCAGCCTTTACGAAAATTAATGAAGCCCTCGTGTAAACTGCATAGTGATGTGGTTTTTCGGCACTTGGCATCATGAGTCTGAAATCAAATTAAGTGGTTACTTTTACGCTGCGGTAATGTGATGCTTGTGCGCCATCAGCTATATGTTCGTATTGCGTTTTTATCAGATCATGTTGGGAATTTGTTCAATCTCACGATTAAAAACGTAACGTTACTTATTTCACTTATAACCACATGAAACTCTTAAGAGTGAAACATTTTTTTAAAATTACAGGAAATACCGTGTTAAATGCAATTTTGAATTACGTTGTAGCTCGGTATCTTGGCATTGTTTCATTAGAGTTATGCGACTTTAATGCCGCTGTATACGTACAATTATAGTCTAATATACAGTACAGTACGTTATAGCGCAGCAGAAGACTGGCCCCATGCGTGCAATGATCAACGTGGTTAAGTATGGACATATAATTCCCTTGATCCGTATGCAGCGATTCTCCGCTGGATAAACAGGGCCGTACATAAGCACACAGCATAATGAGTGCATTAATATATTTTTCCAGGTGCTTCTGATTGACGGGCGGGGTCACCTGCTCGGTCGTCTGTCGGCTATCGTTGCCAAGCAGATCCTAATTGGTGAGTAATGTACACGCAAGTGATTGTTGAATTAAAAATAAAACAAGGCAGCTGATGTATCTTTTTTGTTCATTCGACTCGTTGGAGGGCCCAATAAAGTATCGAATTTGTATAATAAGCAATCACGTATAATTTCGGCACTGAACACCATGTATTTCATGCATACACTCATCTTATTTGTTCTTTCGGTAAAGTAACGTAGAATGAGAATAAAATAATAAAATAAGACATTCTACGTGACTTTACCGAAAGAACCAAGAAGATGAATCCTTGCAGTCACGAAAGCTTAATCGAAATTTATGCATACACTGTTCAGATGTGATATTTTCCAATGCTAAGGGTGACTAGTATCGCCTTTTTAGCATCGAATTTCGCATTTACCTGTTGCTCCATCAATGATGCATTAAATTTACCTACATTGTTTGACTTCAGCATGATAGGAACTTATTTTCTGAGATGGAGCAAAGGCACAGAACAGCAGCGAAACACTTAGTTCACGCGTGTTAGACTTGTGTTTTGTGGTTGTGAAATGATTGATAACTAGATGTTTCCTGATGCCCTGAGAAGTCCTTGTTGAACATCGGTCTTTATATGGGTGATCTGTTGAATGAAAAAGCATGGTGAAAGCGATTGGCCATTTAGGTGTAATGATTCACCTGTACCATGAAATTAATTGGTCATAAATTCAGGATCACAATTTTATTCAAGGATTTTTTTCCCTTGTACTATACAGTATCGTGTGTTTGATTTTTATTTGGTATTCTATGAGCCTAATATTTTGAATACGCTGATTCAGTGGATGTCTCATGGTAAACATCAATAAATTGTGAAATGGCAATTGATACCCATTGTTTTCTGATCACCACTTGTAACCTAACTTTTGAAAGCTCGCCCACTGCCGTATAAAGAAAATAAACAAACACTGCTCCATGAACACATGGATGCAGACTATTATGTAGTCTGGATATATGCAGGTGTTGATTTTAAGCGAGCTGGTTGTCATGCACAGGAATGTGTCCATCCAAGGACACCGCACATTTTTATAACTATTAATCCCTTGGTGTATCACCATTAAACTTTGTTTTTTTTTCGGTAAAGTCACGTAGGTGAACTAAATTAACTAAATTAAAGCACGACGTTTTGGAGGCAACACAAGCTTCCATCTTCAGGTGGAAACCAACACAAGCTTCCGTCTTCAGGTGGAAACCTGAAGATGGAAGCTTGTGTTTCCTCCGAAACGTGATTTAATTTAGTTTTATTTTACTTTACCTATGTGACTTTACCGAAAAACCAAAGAGTGTGAATCCTTGCAGTCATGAAAGCTTCAAGTCTAGAACCATTAAACTTGCTGAACATCTTAGCGATACCATTACCATTGGTCAGAACCATTTAGTTCTTGGATATGATTGGCAGTTACTTAATACAACTATTAAGTGAAACATATTTCTGCACTCCAGGTGCGATTATTGTGGCTGTATAGAACGTTTGATATCAGCATATATCCTTGGTATTTCCTTAAAAAAAATCTGTCTGATTTAATGTAGTCCTTAAATTGTGCTTGCTTGTGTCTGATGTGCAGGTCACAAAGTGGTAGTTGTACGATGTGAGGGAATCAACATCTCGGGCAACTTCTACAGGAACAAGCGTAAGTGAAGACATGTGGTTATTGAAACAGAATCCTAGACAACCGTTTATATGATATTGCTGATTTGGTAAGAGCAAACCTTAAGCACTTGTTGATATTTGAGTTTGCTGGAACAACATGGGTCCCTGGCAATGATGATGACCAAATATATATGTTTTGAGTTTCACGACCGTGAAATTACTTATACATGCACTACCATCTGAGCCTGGCCTTGTTTTCAGCATGTTTTAATCATGCCTGTACTACATTTACGTAACCACATGTACATCGTAAACCAAGACTCAAAATGCCTTTGAATGTTTAGAATTTGGATAATTTTGGCAGTATTCATTTTTTTGCATTACAGCTGCCCTTGTGGTTGTCTTTTTAATCGACACATCTCAACGTGATAAATTGCAAGCCTACAATGCACCGAGTTGCATCACAAATCCCACAAATGAACCCATAAAAGCAGAATTTGATTCTGAACAAGGTCTTCAGACAAATTTCAACACAACCTACATATCCTTCACATTCACCCATTGCATAGCCATGGAAAGTGCTACTGCAGTTGACACAGTCATCCATTGAGACATCATGGGTGCAACTAGTGTCTGAAGATGCAACAGATTCGAGAGTCGCATGCAGTTTCTTCCTCTTCTCCACAGTGAAGTACCTGGCCTTCCTGCGTAAGCGTATGAACACCAACCCGTCGCGCGGGCCGTACCACTTCCGTGCGCCTAGCCGCATCTTCTGGCGGACCGTGAGAGGTACTGCTCACTTTTGCCCGATACTTGCACTGCGCATTGGCACCGCACCACCATCTGCTCGCGTGTATGATGAGATGTCCAGGTGGTTAACAAGCCTACCTCTAAAGTGGCCTTTTATAGAAGAGTTGATGGCGATTTTCTTTGGGGTGAATTAACAAAGCGAACTTCCTGCTGTATGGTGGAGGTTGAAAAACCACGATTGTGAAACATGTTTGCTGGATGGCATTTTTATGTTAGTACCACTAAGATAGGGGAGTCTGCCAGGCTTAAATGGTCCAACATTAATCTGACATTGTCTGACTTTAAACAGCAATAGACAAAATTGGAATATTTAAATAATACCTTTAACTACACAAGAAAGAATAAGGCTCTTGAGTTTGTCCTTTTAAAAACTACCTCATGGCTCCCAGCAGGTAACATAAGCTATATGATGGAATCCCACAATCCTATGGCAGGTGCATGCTCTCACTCCCTGTGATGATGGTGTTTGCTAGTTTTGTGTGAATTTCTTTCGCCACCGTCTGTAGCCAACCGTGCTAATAGGTGCTAAATGTGAGGTAATTGTGGTGAAGAACGCCGTAGTGCTGCAGCCAATGAGGATCCTTGCTATCCTGACACGTGATGAAAAGTTGCCCATTACGGATCTGGCTTCTGAGGCTAGCAACCACTGCGTTGAGGCTAGCAACCGCTGCGTTGCTAGCCTCATGTATGCGTGTCCTCCCCAGTTTGCGGCAGGATTGTTGATCAGCTCATACTGTGGACTCATCACCGCAACGATTCATTTCCCATTAACACCTGTGTGGCGATTGGTGCGATGCAGGCATGGTGCCCCACAAGACCAAGCGGGGCCAGGCCGCACTGGATCGCCTGAAGGTGTTTGACGGGATCCCGCCGCCCTATGACAAGGTGCCTACTCATTGTGTTACCCCCGTGATAACGTCGGCTAGTTGTGAAGAATGCCATGATGCTGCAGCTGATGATGAGAACCTTTGCTAACCTGACACGTGATGAAAAAATGCCCATTACGGATCTGGCTTCTGAGGCTCGCACCATGGCATAAAATATTACTGCAGTACTCTGATGATTTATGTACATTGCTCCATGCGAGGTTTTTATTGTAAGATACTAAATGTTACATAAATTTAAACCATAGCCTGGCTTTCTCTAAAGTGAATGGGGATGGTTAGATTTATTAAATTGGGTTTTACATTTATGCCACGGTCCTTGTGTATAGGAATACAATTCTAGTTATTTTTCTATCTACATGACTTTACCGAAAGACCCAAAGAGTATCTAGTGCATGTTTTTTCGCAAGCTTGTATGTCAAATGTTTTCAAGTGGCATTGAGTGATGTCACTCTTGTTGGTCCGAATACTAAGCATATACATGATCTTTAAATGTGAAACTCATCCAAGTGTTGTTACAAGGCTAAAAAATAGGTGTAATTTTTCAACAATTTATCACATTGTGGGGGTGAATTATTGCAATCATGGTGAATATAATTGAAATAAAATTCTTAACACTTGATGTGAATTGTATTTATCTTAGTAGCCTTGTGCATTGCACTAATATGATTGAGTGGCTAATGTGACCTGGCATGGAACAATTGTGGATGCATTGTGAAGTGACACTGTGGTGTCTGCACAGAGGAAGCGCATGGTTGTTCCGGCTGCCCTCAAAGTCGTCCGTCTGAAGCCCACACGCAAGGTGAGCAACACAGCCGGCTCGCTGTCATTGCAGTGTCATGATTTAAATTTGTGCTACATGTGAACTTTACAAATGTTAATGCATACTGAGTTTGGTTAGGTTAGAGGATCTGTGAGCCCCTGGCAGTGATGCTAACTTAACACTTCTTTGACTTTAGCAAGAGTGAAATTACACTTACATGCACTACCATCTGAGCCAGGGCTCCCAATCACAGAAGCTGCATGGTGGTGTTAGAACACCATATTAATAACTCCCAGCAAGTTAAAACTTTTAAGAACTGCATAAAGTATCTTATTAATGGTTTCATGACCGTTGAGCTTTTGCGCCACTGCTTAATGTTTTGAAACTCACCATGTGTGCTGTGGTGACGGTGTGTCCTGTGCATTGTTTGATGTGTTCTGCTTGTTTGGAGTGGTGTGCTGTGCCTGCCCATGGTGGTGTATGGTGTATCGTGTTGTGTGTGGTGTGCCTGGCGTGAGTGTGTGTTGGCTGTATGCTTGGCATGCGCTTTGTATGTAGTTTGCAGTACTGGGCCGCCTGTCCCATGAAGTGGGCTGGAAGTACCAGGCAGTGACTGCTACCCTGGAGGAGAAGAGGAAGCAGAAAGCCAAGCTGCACTATGAAAAGAAGAAGAAAACAGTGGTTTGTAATACACAACACTGTCCCACCACACCACTCATGAGAGCGTGTACAACGTTTTATTTGACAGTACACAACAGTCATACAAAACCACGCGACAGTTGTGATGCGCAATATAAAGCTGCACCCTATGACATAACCATCAGTGCATGTACAAAGCAGTAGTTTAAGTGGAAGATGAATGCCAAGGTTGAAAGTGGTGTTACCCCCTTTAAATATCAGTTTGTGCATGCGCCCATGCCACTCCATCGATGATGTTTTACTTTTACCTACATTGTTTGACTGAGTGTGATAGAAACTTAATTTCTGAGATGGAGCAAGGGCAATAACAATTACCATTTTAGCAACAAAATTCTGCATGCTAGAAGGCAGTGGGCTCTGCATGGGGGCATGCATTTAAATTTCTGTTCTACCCCATGGGTTGTTTGAGAATGCAAATGCGTCATTACCAAAAACGCCCATGGTAAAACTCGATTCTGATGGTCGACTAAGCTTAATGCAAGTGTGTGTTTATTTAGACGCTGCGCAAAAAGGCTGAGAAGAACGTGGAGAAAAAGATCTGCGCATACACAGCGGTGCTGAAGCAGTACGGTGTCCTCATATGAGGTGTTTTGGTCAACCTGTATTGTTAATACATCTTGAGTCAATGAGCTGACCTCGTGTGCCTTTTTATTTCATGGTGATCACTGAATTGTCCAACTCAAAACAGTGCTTTGTGAGCAGAAAATGTAAAACATTTTTTTAAAGCTCGAGTTTTATTGAGTGCAACCTTTGGGGGAGGGGGGGAGACAGTGTACATGAATAATTCTGCCTTGATTCATACTCTTTGGTTCTATTCGGTAAGTCACGTTAAAAAAAAATCACGACGTTTCGGCCACAACACAAGTGGCCTTCATCAGGTGAAGGGACCAGACTGTCTAGAGGACAGCGCTGTCCTCTAGGCCTTCATCAGGTGAAGGGACCAGACTGTCTAGAGGACAGCGCTGTCCTCTAGACAGTCTGGTCCCTTCACCTGATGAAGGCCACTTGTGTTGTGGCCGAAACGTGAATTTTTTGTTGTTTTTTACGTGACTTTACCGAATAGAACCAAAGAGTATGGATCCTTGCAGTCACGAAAATTTCAAATCTAGAATCTGCCTTGATTGTTGAGAAACTGGCTGCTGGTTAAAACGCATGACTACCATCCGATTCAGCAGTAGGAAATGGAGGTGCCTAATTGGTGAATGAGTGAATACAGGTGACATGTTCATAAAAGGTTTCTGGGTTAGATCGCGTTATTTATAAATGTCGTAACCCTCCACAACTCGACAAGGCCAAACAGTAAAACATGTCACGTTTACAAAGGACAAATAGTTCACTACTTGCCTCGGTGTGCAAAATGAACCCTTTATTGTGATCTTACATCCAATCAAAGCCACTCTCCCATAGATTTTTCCTGGATTAATGAATGTGGGACAAATCTTCACACGGCTCACAGCCACATGAGATCAACCACCTTTAAAAAGGTCCTGAATAGATTTCAATCACTGTGGTACGAGTGAAATATATTCTGACCTGTCGACACTTGATAAGGGCTTTCTCTTCATACTTTGTTGACATGCACATTGGATAATGCTGTGGTGTTTGAATGTGACCTGCGAAAGGAATTGGGACAGTGCTCAGTAATTTTGATCTCTTATTTAGCTATTCGTGCCTCATTTACAGAATGTTTAAAGGGCTGTAAATACATGTGGCTCATTCAAACGTGAAGAAAACCCAGTATATTTAGCCATTTCCAGAGTTATTTCCCATTCGGATCTGACTAAACGTATGGGAGTACTTGATACTTCCAAAGCACTTATACATGACTTAACCTGATCCATTCATCAGTGGTCGCTTAAATGACGCAAGAAAGTGATCAGTGCCACTGCAAAAGTAATGTAGAATGAGCAGTTATTAATTGGTGCCTGACATCCATCCAACACTTTCCTCTTAGGCATGCACTCATGATAAATAGGGACACGAAGAACAAATGTATATTAATTATTTGTGAATATGCAGTGTACAAGCCTTTTGAAATGTGATTCTTACACAAGACATCCACACTAGATTTGTAATTATCTATAACATGAATACCCTTATACCTCGGGCCCCATCTATGGATAAAATTGTTCCTGCGTGACACGCGAGTTTCATCCAATGAATAGCTTAGAAATAGTAATTCGGAAGACATTGGATCTAGGTTTGCATGAGTAACAGGCTGTTCCAGGAATGGCATGGCACAGCTCTTGTCATAAGTAGCTATATGGGCTTTGAGGGAACTGATGAGCATGATTATTTTAACAAGCTTTGGTCAGATATCCTAAGTCACCTACGTGACTTTACTAAAAGAACCAGAGTATGATAAAAACTAATTTTTAATGGGCTTGAAACTTTATTCAGGCTGCAACAGCTCAATTACATCACAATTAGTTTTAAGGATGTCCCAGCCTTAAATCGTGCAAAGCTATTTGGAACCGACTGGGCCTAGCAAAGGGAGCTTTAATTGTCTATGTACACTGACTGGTTCACGTGGTCCCCTGCAGCCATTAGAGGTTAGGTTCTACATGCACCACAACAGCAAATTGATGCTTGAGTCCTGACACCAAGGGAGCAGGTCTATATAACAAGCTGACCAACAATACATGCTATATGGTGTTGCCATGAGATGAAAACCCCTTTTCAGTGAAGATGTTGAATCCAATAGCCCTGTTTTTGGCCACTTTTCTAACTAGATAGCATCAAGGTTAAATCTTGACTTAAAGCTTTCGTGATTGCAGGAATTCATTCTTTGGCTATCAACAAAGGTTTGTTCATGAAGCCATCCATATATAGCCAATTTCAACTGAGATGGGTACAAACTGAGCAATCATTGAAAGGATGTTATCAACCAGTTTGTCATAACTGGCTGTGATCCCATCCTACCACCTTCCAATAGTTATTTTTTGGGCTCTGATTTTACATTAACTGGTTAAATGTCTGGCACAGCTGCCTTCGCGCACCTACCAACTGCCATTCACACGCTGATCTCATTAACATAGCCACCTCAGCGTGGAGGCTGCTCACTGATCTTACATTAACATGCTCATTTTTTACCTGGCAGCCCTTCAATTGGTGGAAAACCCACCACCTTCGCAGTCGCCGTCCACCATTTACATTAACAGCTGCCCTGCCCATGCTGCTGACATTTGGGCTACGCCCATCTCAAACCTTTATAAAGTTTGCCTTTAGAAGCTTAATACCCTTCTGATGACGACCGCTTGTGTTGCGATCAAAACGTAGTTATTTCCTTTGAACCTACGTGACTTTACCAAAAGGCCTAAAGAATAGAATCAAGGTGTCCCAAAGATAGTCGCACCTTTCCACATTAAAGGCCCCACAATGTCTTGCAAAGTGTTGCATGTCCTATTTTTTTAAATTATATGCAAAAAGACCAAGACCAATCAAATTAAAAAAAAACCTCATGTCCAATCATTGGTTACTAGGCTGTGACCATTTACTAAACTTGAGAATCCAATTGGATCTCAGAATTTCCAGATTCAAACACAGGATCAGAAATGGTATTGAGCCACATGACAACTGTAAATTACTTCCACTGCACAACCTTAGCCTCATCAGGGCTGAGCTTGCCCAGTATAGCTCAGGCAGAGCCATGTATTTAAAATGGTGGCCATGGTATCACACTGAAGTTGCATCTGGAGACGAGCAAAATGTGGTTCATTGACAATCCTATCAAGAGGTTTCACACCACCAATTAGCACCGTTGGCAAATGCTACAAATGATGTGGTGATGCTCTAGCCATTAGCCCTATCCCCTTTGCCCTGTTTGTCTCTTATTTGGCTTGGGAACCAAAGCCAGTGTATCGAGGGATTGTTTACAGATCAGCATGCCAAATCAGTATAAAACTACTCATACCGTGACTCTCCCATCCTGGCTTGTGCCAGTGCAATCGTATATTTCCCATTGAGAGACTTAACTGCACAAACTGGGAGCGGTGACATCGGAGCGCTTGTCACGGTGCCGTGACGTCCAGGAGGCTGTGGTCATGTGCCGGCAGCACCAGCACTTGCGCAGCACGGCTAGCGTGGTAAACCTGCCCTGCTGCAAACTGTTGCAACCGGGGCACGAGCGGGAAGGAGCTGCCCAGCAGAGCCGCTCCACCACTACCCGCGCTGCCCCCAGACCACCGGCTGCGCACACTGTCCGTGTCACTGGGCAACACTGCTGCTCCCACGTCGTCATGTTCGCCCTCTCCGTCTGGCACTGGGCGTGGATGGAGAGGACAGTGCATGGGTTTTGTTATTTTATATGCAGCCACTTATAGTTGCTGAATACTAATATAAGTAATAAAAGGTGATTACTCAACAGTAAAGTGCTGTCTGGGGTTTCAGGTTGATCAGCTATTTGTGATTGCTGTGGAAACAGTTTGGCACTGCCTCTGGGGTAAAATCCAATTCTAATGCTTTCTGTAATAGATCAAAAGACTGAAAAAGGCTTACAGTAATTGTGCCTTGGATTGGTCCTCTGATCACACCTGGCATCTCCAAGACATTACCACACTGCATGTATATTGTGTACGGCCTTGTTATTTTAGAGCAGCTCAAACCCAAATTGTTTTTTATAGAGCAGGACAATGAGAACAGACACTGCATCATACATTTTTTTTCATCTGTTAGATGGAATTACTGGATATCGCATTTTATTTTGTCATCACGAGTTGATTTGCTATGAGCCACAGGTTTACCCAGTATTTTGAGGACACTGTATTAGGTTTATGGTTGGGAAGACTACTGGACATCTGAAATTACTGGACATTTTGAAAAAGAGCTTCATAGCTCATTGTATTCCTCCAGTATAAATATACTGACAAAAGGGGTTCCAACGGTCGTGTTAGCATCAGGGATGGCCTCACCATTGTCTGGGTGCAGAGAGGGAGGGGCGGGTGCATCCTGCGATGGCAGTAACCGTGCCAGCCTCACGTCGGGCAGGGGTAGCTTCCCTGCAAATAGCGGCATCAGCTGTAGCTGCAGAGAGTGGGTCGTGCCTGGCCGGGGAGCAGGCTGAACTAGCCCCGAGCTCTTGCCGCACACAGCCCAATTGCTGCAGTTGTCAGCCACTGCAAGGGGGCAAGGGACAGGTGGATCAAGGAGGACACGGTCTCCAAATTAAACTCAATCCCGATGCCAGTTCTTCAAAACTACTTGGCTGTTCTGCCTCATACTGGCACTGACCCTGCTGCTGTTGTAGGTGGCTATGACCAGATGTGTAATGTTAGATGCAGTTTTGTTTTATTTGTATGTGTTTGTCACTGACTAAAATACACAGTTTATTTGTACATGTACCTAACTTTTTCTGGCACCTCTTGCAGCTTTTTATTTTTCAGGTGTGTTTCGTTTATGGCCATCAAATACATTGTTTATTAGTTCTGCAATATTCCTTAAGGACCCTGTACTGTTCTCTGCAATATTGATGTTTATGTTGTTGCTGTACACATGCACCACAGATCTCCCTTGTAAAATAGCTGGGTAACTTGCTAAATGGGATCCATGTAAAAAATCAAACTCAAATTGAGATACACTCATCCCCCTTCCAAGTGGGTGAACTACATGCTTATCCTGGGTTGAGAAAATGCCCAAAACTTTGGAGACAAGAGAAAGGACTGCAAATATGCAAAAGCATTTTGCCTTGACAGCTATTCGTCATTGTGCTAATGAAATAATTCCAAAGACATGCTTTTTCTTATAATCCATGTATATGCATGATTTTCCAAACGTGTTTGGGTTGCATCCTTCAATAAGCTTCATATATAAACAGACCTCTGTTCCTTGTCCCCAAATATAAATGCATTAATATTTAGTCATGGCTTTCCAGACCAATTTCCACCAGCATTTTTTTAAGGATGAAAACTGCACAGGTTTTGACATTTTGGGCCTCATCAGCAGAATTACACTTTTTAAACAAATGCTGCTGGGTTTGACATGTTACTGGCAAGAGCGCTCCATCGAAACGATGGGGGGCCCTTTTCAATTCAAAGAGCTTCAATCGAACAAAAAATATCCCTGATAGCTGTGTCGTTCACCTTGGTAGAGCAGCTGGCTGCTCGGGGTTTCCTCATCGGTGGCAGCGCCTCCTCTCTGTAGCCGCGTAATGCTCACATCCAGTGAGCACAGCTCGCCCATACGGCATGCGTCAAAGCCAGGAGGTGGCCGCACTTCAGATAGAACCACGTACAGAGTCTGTGGTGCATAGGAAACGGTGTGAGATACCTACAAACAGGATTGTAACACTTTACACTGGCACATTCGAGCCTAGCAGGAGCGAGGCCCTCGTGGTACAGATGGTATTTCACTGGCTATTGGCCATGCTGAGCCGGAACCCAACAGTAATCTGCCCCAAAAAATGTCTGTATCTGAATACGACCTATTGAGTGCTAGGGCAGGGCTAGTGACGTGTATATTGCATGTGACATCAGTTATTACTCGGTGAGAGAACAGCATCACCTATATGTGACTCAACTTGTTCATTGCGTGTCATGTGATGTCGGTGGAACGGCCCGACTTCTGCAGTGGAAAAACAACCTGTTGCTTGCTGGCCTACACCGTTAAGAGGTTTAAGCTAAGTTACTGTCCTCCACTACTCGCCTGCATGTCTAGCAGCAGGCCCAGTGTTCATGAGCCATCGGAGGTCTACATCCCAGGAGACTGTTGAAGTTTAGTTGACAAGAAATGAGCACTTTACAGTTGAAATTGAAAATATGGATGTTCAAGGTCAATCTAACAATATAAATAAATAAAAAGTCCGGTTCGGTATCGATTATATTTTGTTGTCTAAAATCTACTCGAATTATCTTTAGAGGTATGTAACCAGTCAGCCTATGTATGCAAATTTACTTTTAGACATGGTGCATTGAGAATTCTTATGAATTGTGCATTTCACATGATTTATCATTGCTGGACAACAGGGATGATTTTGACTGATGACAACAGCGTTGGCACCCCCAAACCATCGTACCTCCGATTACCATAGTTGGCTTTGTATGGTGCTAAATAAGTTCTACATACATCTTTGATTCCTTACATGAACATCTATTCCAACAAATGGGCTAGAGTTACGAAATGCAGCGTCTAGGCAACCTACTACTAAATTATAATTTGTGAATGATCATTTTTTAATGCCCCTTCTGTTTATATTGCTCTGTTTTATTCACAATCTCTCTGGGAAAGAAAGCTTGCCCCAATGAGCTTTCATCTGGTTATAAAGCTTGCAAATTAATTTAGCCATTTAATTTCTAATTGTAATTTATTTAGCTGGGTGAGAGCCGTTTGAGAATCACGTGTTTGCAGTTTAGATAAAAAGGTGAGAAGCCACTGACATTTTAATTACCAATATCTGTTCATCAAGGTGTGCCAATTAAAATACATGTACTTAGAAATATTTATCAGAACATCCCATAGACCAGTAGGCCTAAATGATATTTCACTGCAGAAAATTTGAATAATTTTTTTTACAAAAGAATCCTTAACTTCTAAAGACCATTTCAAGAGGGTAGTGCACTGGCCAATTCCATTATAAGGAGTTATTTAAAATATACAAGTGTTAGTGGTCACTTTTAGTTAATTAGACTATTTTGTCTCCTGTTTTTGACTAGTTCCTGACGTGACAACCCTTCACCGTATTATGTACATACTGTCCCTCTCCTATTATCTTTTTCATAGCTCTTTCTATTCTGTTTTAGTCCTTTTTCGTTTCTATTGCTCGTCTGTTGTTTCCTAGATCATAATGTGGGGATCTCAATTTTATACACTTGTTTTGCATGTCGTCTGGATGCCACGTACCCTGGTTCTTGCATTCCCTGTGCCTCTTGCTGTTGAAAACATTTAAAATATAACCCGGACTCGAGTATTAATTCTCAATAGTGGTATCTTGCCTAAGGCTCTACACAATCCAGACACAGCCTTCGTCTCACCTTAAAGTCACTAAGCGTGAACTCGTAGCGGTGCCTGCTGGGTTCAGCGGATGCGGCGGTGGTGGTGGGACCAGGAGGGCCCCCAGGGGCGCTGTCCACGTCTTCAAGGGGACTGTCATGGTTCGGATGGCCAGCAGAGGGGCTGCCCGGGGCTCCCTCCTCCGGCCAGAAGCCCACAGAGAAGTGGCATCGCAGTGGTGTGGCTGGAGACGTAGGCAAAAGCTCCCAGACGAACCACATTTTCTGCCCGCCCAGGACAACCTGCAGGAACGAGAGAGGAGGCTTTGTTAAGTCTCCAACGTCGACGTCACGACTGAGAAAATTAGCTTCAGGTTCTGCAGAGATGTGGTGGTCACTCTGTAAACACGCACATGCTACACAGTAACTACCAGAGCGGGGTCATTCATAACCCTGATGGAGACCCCGCCTGAGGGGTAGAGGCTGTGAAGTGTGTGTGTGTGTGGGATCCCCCAGAACCCTGGTCCTAGACAGAAAGTGGGGTCGAACAAGCACAGATTGTTGGGCTCCCTGTGACCAGCACCTCTCCTGTGGGGAGGGGCCTGCGAGGGATCTGTGATCCGTCGGAACCCCCGCCCCTCGGTGGGAAATGGTATAAAAGGCGGGCTCCTGAGAGCAGCGGGGAGTTGGTCTCAAGCCGAAGCCGTGGAGCCGCCTGAAGAGGAGATCCTGGACCCCAAGCCCCGACGTCCTTCTGAGGGCCGGGGCTCAGTGTGGTACCAGTGATGAGCAGGCTAGGACCCTGAAGTTCCCTCAGCCCGACGCCCTTCTCAGGGCCGGGTCTGGACGGGCCAGTGGTCGAAGACCCACCGGTGCCAGCGGTGGGTCAGCCTCCCCTAGGTCCAGCTAGCCGGAGGGCTAGAGTAGTAGTCGGACCAAAAGCTGTGTATACGATATTATACAGTGTAGTTTAGATTGTAAGGTATATTGTAATGTATAGTAGTTTAGTTTATAGCATAGTTGTAACGCAACACAGGACAGAGCAGCGCATCGTGGCTGTTTCTCTCCCCCCTCCTCCGTTCCGAGCATAGATGGACTCGTCCGTCTGAACAAAGCTCGTCGCTTTCCGTGGTGCTAACGTTGAAAAGAAAAAAGAAACCGCCACTTTTTCCGATATAGTTACATGCTAATCCCTCACACTAACATTAAGCTAATCTCCCAGTTACATGCTAATTTCTGACTTTAACATCCTGCTAATCCAACACATTAACACAGCTACTTCAATGCTAAATTCTTCTGTTGATAAGTAAACTCCTTCATCAAGGCGTTCTGCTTCTCCCACCCAGCTTAAAAGACGCTGCTAAGCTTGGCAGTGTTCACTGAAGCGCTGTCTTCCCGACAGTTCTCTTTCTTTACCTGAGGAAGGCTACTTTTGTTGTGGCCGAAACGTCGTGAGAATTTTGTTTTATTTTTATTATTTTATTTCCATTCTACGTGACTTTACCGAAAGAACCAAGAAGATGAATCCCTGCAGTCACGAAAGCTTTAAATCGAAATGTAATATTGATTGTTAAAAGGAAGAAGACTTGGGAGGGACGATGGCTGATGGACAAGACTGGTTTTGTGATGGCCTTATTATGCCTCACATAAGTATAAAATAAGTCTTGAAGTGCGAACGGACTTAAGAAGTACAGTTGACCAGCACAGAACAAAGGTAACAGAGCGGTGCTGTGTGGAGTTCGGATTCTATTCTATTTCAGATTTATATAGCACCCTTTACATTGTGGCTCAGTGGGTTGACAGGTTTCAGCTGGGCACTCTGGCAGCCGTCATCACCATCAGGAGTCGTCACATCGCCCAGATGATGGTCGCGCAACACGAACGCGACCTCAGTCATGTTGCTCAGGCACACCTGCACAAACTTTCTGTTCATTTTTAAACCACAAAAGAAAAAAAAAGCAGACGCAATAATTAGATTGGATAAGCTGAGCTGTTTGAGCCATCAGTGACCATTCAAATATCGTATTTGGTGTGCTCTTATTTTGCACAGCCACTGGTGAATTTTTAGCTAGAATTCCCTACTGGATATAATCTTGTGTAGCCTAGGGTTAGAGCTAAATATAAGGCAAGGGCTAGACCTAGAATTACAGATAGAGTTAGGAATTGAGTAAGAGGTAAGAAAAGGTCAAGATTGATAATAGGGGTAGCGGAAGGGATAGAACAAGGGTAGGAATGCGGTTGAAGACACCGACACTTTCAAGGGTTAGACATTCGAGTAGATAGGATGGGACAAGAGAAAGAATTAGGATTAAACCTATGGCTAGGACTAGGGTTAAGATATCGGTGAAGAAAGACCAGATCTAAAGGCTAAGACTGGGGCTGGAGTTAATTACAGAATTAGAGTTCTCTTCACTCAGGTTAGAACCATGGACAAGGGCTTAGGGACACATTTTGGCAAGGGTTAGAGCTAACATTTTGGTTATGATAAGAACCAAAGGGACAGGATTAAACACAGGGGTAATGGTAGGGCTAGGAATAGTTAGAAGCAGGGTATTTTTAATACTAATACCAGGGTTGATTTATCTTTATGGTGGTGCTGTGCAAAGTGAGCTCGTGGCCTCCACTGACCTCTCCCCAGCCGTGAGCAGAGAGTGCCGCGTACGGAAGGGAACTTTGAATGCCAGGGGAACGATCGTGGAGTAGATGGACCAGGGACTGTCAATAGAGATCTGCCAGGGAGGAGATTGTCAATTAGCAACATTTCAGCCTAGACTTGATTGAACACAGATAAAATACATACAGCCCAACAGCATACCACATTCACTCCATTACTGGGAAGGTTTCTTTATTAATAGATATCTGGAATTTTCTTGTATGTAATTTAATGTTTATTGTGACAATGTTTATGACGAATTCACCCATCAGGAACACGAGCAGTGATGAGACAAAGGTGGCCTGGCATGTGTGATGGTGGCCCCACTACTCCATAACATGTGTATCATAAATGGCCATGATAGGACCCAATACCAGCACTTACACTCGCACCGTTTGCAGTAAAATATATTTCGACAAATGTAAAAATATTCTTGGTTCTTTCGGTAAAGTCACGTAGAAGGAAAACAATAAAATAACTTTACCGAAAGAAGCAAGAATATGAATCCCTGCAGTCAGGAAAGCTTTAAATCAAAATGTAAAAATGTTTATATTTTTATATATTTTACATTTGGGAGTCTTCATAAGTGTTCACAAAGAAGCCTTCCTCTGACGTTTGAGTGATGATATTTGTCACATACGCAATTTGTTCATGACCTCAGTCCAATGTGTGAATCTTAACACCACCCTAAAACCCTCGCAGCCATCCACAGGTACAATTGACATGCTGGCTTGCCTTCTGATCAAGAACGTCTGCTTCGATGACAGCACCACCGCCCGCCTTTCGTGACTCCACTTTATCCGCTGGTGCTCCATCTTGCCCGTCTGCTCCGCCGGCCGCGGCGAGCGGCAGTGCACAGGCGACGCGCAGGCTGAAGCGCAGAGTGTGGTAGCACGGCGTAGCGGGGAGGTTGACGCTCACGATGCGCTCCGAGGGAGACACCGTGAACACGGCATCCGGGAGCTCCTCTGCAGTTGGAGGACAGGACGACAGTATTAAATTTTGACTCAAGTACAACCTAAGACTTCTGACAAGTCAAATAAACCATGACCAGTCACACACTACTGCACTCTGTGCACACCACTTATATAGTACTGCATTGTCGTACAGCCTGTGATACTAATGATACTACGTTTGTCAGTACTATGTGAGTGGTGAATGTCTGGTAAGATCTTGATTTGAAGCATCTTGATTTTGCAGAAATCCATACTCTTTGGTTCTTTCGGTAAAATCAAGTAGGTAGAAAAATAATAGATCACGACGTTTCGATCGCAACACAAGCAATTGTCATCAGGTGGGACAACCATGGCAAGAAAAAACTGCTGAAGTAGGCGAGACATCTGCCGTGGTACGAGGTTATATAGTAGGCCTCGGCAGTAGGGGGGCAGAGAGAAGGGGGGGGGGGCAGAAAGTGGACCCCGCGGCAGCACCCGGGCAACTGGAGTAGAAATCGGAGAGAGAAAGACACAGAGAGAGAAAGACACAGAGTCAGAAATAACAGGTGACATAGGCAGGTAGGATGGAAAAATCACAGTTAAGACTTGACCTGGTTAATAACGTCCTTCCAATGATTGCTCTCTTTGTACCCATCTCGGTTGAAGTTGTGTCTGTGTTTATATATCTGGATGACTTCATGAACAAATCTCTAATAATAGCTGGTGGGTTTGCAGAGTACCTTCGTTTTGGAAAAGTCAATTTCGTGCGAGCCCACTGCGTTAAAACAATGATCAGCAACGACAGAGGTATTGGTCCTACCGTGTTTCAGATCTGCCTTGTGTTCGCGAACGCAGTCCGAGACATGTTGTTTCGTTTCCCCAATGTAACTGCTGCCGCAGCCACAACTCAATTTGTAGACACCCGGGTATTGCATGTCAGGAATCACATCCTTTACAGATGGGATCAAATCACGGATTTTGTGTACTGTGTTGAAACGAACCTGGATCTTGTGTTTGTTTAAGATTTTGGAAATCTTTTTGGTAACCCCTGCTAAGTATGGCAAAGTGATGGTATTGGTTCCGACTCTCTATGTGTCTTTCTCTCTCTCTCTGTTCATCTCTCTCTGATCTCTACTCCAGTAACCCGGGTGCTGCCACGGGGTCCACTTTCTGCCCCGCCTCCTCCCACCCCCCCATTTCTCTCTCCCCCCCTGCAGCCAATCTCTCCAGTGTTGCTGCGGTGGCCCACTTTACTCCAGTGACCCGGGTGCTGCCACGGGGTCCACTTTCTGCCCCCCCCCTTCTCTCTGCCCCCCTACTGCCGAGGCCGCCTACTATATAACCTCGTGCCACGGCAGATCTCTCGCCTACTTCAGCAGTTTTTTCTTGCTGTGGTTGTCTCACCTGATGAAGACTGCTTGTGTTGTGATCGAACCGTCGTGATCTATTAATTTTCTACTTACGTGACTTTACCGAAAGAACCAAAGAGTAGAATAGCAGGTGAGTGATGAGTGTCAGGTGAGTGGTCAGGTGTCTATTAAGTCAGTAAAAGTGACTGGTGAATGTTAGTCTGGTAAATGGTATCATGTGATCGGTGAGTGTCTGGTAAGTGTGTGCTGAGTGCACCGTGTCTAGTTAGTGGTGAGTATGTGGTGAGTGTCTAGTATGTGTGTCTGCCGAGTACATGTGGTACGAGGAGGTGAGGGTCAGGTGAGTATCATGTGACCCCATTAGTAGGTCGGGCTGCCTACTGGTACAAACACACGTACACAGTCATCTCTTTGGAATCCTTTGAACAGTATCCATGTTGTGCAGCTGTGGCAGTGCAATAAATCAAACATCGTGCGGCATTTCGCAATCCACCAAAGCCCTTACCGCCAGTATCGGTGCTGATGCGTGCCGTGTTCTTGCCAGAGTTAAGGATGAGCAGCCCGGCTGGGAGGCTGAGCTGCAAGGCGTCACCCCCACGCACAGAGTAGCAGCCGGTGTTCACGGTCACAGTCAGCTCTTGTGGCACACCCGCTAGCAGTGGCTCTGTTCATCGTGCACCAACAAAACATATGCACACAAGCATTTACAAAAACAAAGAACACCTGCATAGCCTTTCGCAGATTTTTGGAGCAAGGACTGAGCACTTATTAAAGCCAGCATAGCGCACGAGGTAGTAGCGAGGCCATCATTACACTAGGCTGCCTTTCATGGCACGAGCGGTGTGAAGTCACTCTCACTTAATGGCGACTGGTGGCTGGTGTTGTATGCGTGTGCATGTGCGTGTGTGTGGGGAGCGATAGTGTAGCGGTTAGCGCGCTGCGCTATGAACCTGGCGACCCGGGTTCGATTCCCGCTCACGGTCAACACCAGTGACGATTATCTGAACCGGTCCCGGGCCTCCCCTAGGTCGACTCAGCCTCAAATGAGTACCTGGTGCGGTGTGTAAACATCGCCACTAGGGAGACAAAGGCGGTCGGGCGTGGTGCTGGCCACCCACCCCCTCGTGTACCGTTCCGGCCTTCATAGGTGCTCGCTAACAGCACTTGCCCCTACAGTCCGTTACAGGCTATATGGGGGATCTTTGTCTTTGTGTGGCAGCACCATGCGAGGGCAGCAGGTTGAGTTGTGGCTCCTGTGAATAGACGTCGTACTGCAGTGGAGGATAGAGGCGACGTGACAGGAGATGCACGCGGCCCAGCTGCACGCAAAGCTGCCTTAGTGTGAACGAGCCAGACTCTGTGACCTGCAGGAGCGCAGGGAGAAAGGGAGGGAAGCACTCGGTGGCAACACAGACTTCCCCACATACCGTGTCCACCCCAATGCTTGATCAGCCCTAAATGAGTCTGAAGCGAGCCACTCTGTAGAGGACTTCCACGATGGCGCTTTTGCTCTCACCACGGCAGAGAGGGTGACGGTGTTTTTTTCCAGGCCTCAGCTGCACGCCAGCAGCCCTGAGCGAGCGTGATGCCTCTTCCCTCGTAACATCAGCACCGCGGCCTGAGGACGTGTTGGAGTCCTGACGGCGCAGCAGCATGTGCGAGTTGCGGCATACGACGCCGCTTGACACCAGTGGGGCATCCGCCTATGGGCAGCGACAAGACGGCTCTCGTTAGTTGCTGTCAACAAGAAACCAGGCTAAGTTCAAGTGATTTTTTTACTCTAGCATTTCTCAAACGAGGATCGAGGGGCCAAGGGTGTTCATACTGTTTTCAGATTGACTAACCTGCTGAGAACTTTGGGCCACAGACATAATAAAATAAGTAAATGGATGCAGTAGGATCAAATGTAAGAGCTATAGCAGATGAGACAGGATAACTTTAATCATAAGTCTTCATCCTTAGTGCTCAATTTATTAGAAACCTAGCAATGATGGGAAAGGCCCATACAACTACCTTCCTGTTAGACAATAACTTAATTTGGGGTATTGTTTGGTGTGTGAGCTACGACACCAGCGCACCACAGCTCACTTCATCCAACAACACAGTGGGTTTCGACTAATACCCTGCAACACTGACTTCCCGGTGGGCGGTGCCACACGAACGCACCTGTGGGCCTTTCTCCCTGAGCTCGCACACGTCGATCAATGCCGGGAGCTGCCGGCGCACGGGCAAGTCCGTCGCCGCGTTTCCCGGGAACACGACTCGCCCATCCGGGTAACGGGGCGTGATGCCGATAGCCCCGGTGGCGGCGGTGGAGCCAGGCCGCGGTTCATGAGCAAGCGCTATGGAAATGGCGGTGGAGTTGGCACTGGTGGGAAGCCGGCTGACGAGCACCAGCTGCAGAACGAGCGTGCCGTTGAGGTTGACGAGCGCAGAGGCCGGGGTAAAGCGCACGCTCGACAGCTGCAGCACCGGCTCAAGAGGCAGGAGGATTTCGCCTGCACCGCCCGAAACGACAGCAAGGCAGATAGATGGGGCTGACTGCGACGTTTCTCCCGCTTGACACAATGTGGATTAGTTATTGATGCAACTACTTTGCCCCTTACATCTAAATGGAAGTGTTTAATTTGATTTGTTTTAATACGTATGTATATAGAATTTTTTTTCGCACCGTTCATAGCCAACTGGGCTAATTGCAGGTGCGAAATATAACTGGTTGGTGGAAAGTTCAGTTCTGAAAGAAAGCACCCAGCTTTCTGTTGAGACAAAGATTATTACAATGGGCTCACTAATCATGTAGCCCATCGGGTGAAGAGAAATAAACACTATGTATGTGTACATTCCTGTACCCGAATATAGTAATCATCTCCCTTTGAAACAAAATAGTTTTGAGGTAAACATGGTAGTTTAAAAGAAAGCCAGGCCAAATAGATGTGTTACAGCCACCGAGTCCAGCACTAATAAAGTCATGAATTCAAGCCAAGGCACTTGATGTGTATCGTGACGCGTCTCATAGGGGCTTAGAATGGCGTTGTTAGACCATTGAGCCAGCAACTCTGAGATCCGATGTTCAAATCTAGGTTCAACTACCCACAACTAAACCCGACTCTGCATTGTAAAATCATAAAATAACCACTTTATTTGGCCTACCCCAGCTCTGAGGATGTTCATTTTTCACGAGTTACATGGGGCTCATCACTATTTTCAGAGTATGAAGGAACACAACCAAGTGTCCAGTCTGCAGTGGCACGTCCCAGATTGCGCTTCAAAAATTACACGTAATAATAATTTTACAGGTATCCTGACAAGGTTGTTGGCTGAAATATAAGAATCTTTGAGATGCGTTTGACCATGTGCAATCTGGCGAGACCCCTAGGCAAACACTTGGGTGCTAAGCCCACCGCACGCACAGACATCTGAACTCACCATGTTCCTCTGCACCACTGGACCCCAGGATCTCCTTGAAGTAAGACTCCCTCTCATCCACAGGCAGGTTCAGATCACTGGCCAGGAGGCTGCACATCTCCAGGTATGTGCAGCAGTGTCTGTTAAGGATTATGCCCTCAATGGTAGGGCTTTAAATAGCCATGAGACCAGTTGCATAAAACACATTAAGTTACATTTCACTCCAGCGCTGTCCTCTAGACAGTCTGGTCCCTTCACCTGATGAAGGCCACTTGTGTTGTGGCCGAAACGTCGTGAATTTTTAATTTTTTGTTTTTACGTGACTTTACCGAATAGAACCAAATAGTATGGATCCTTGCAGTCACGAAAGCTTTAAATCTAGAATTACATTTTAGCTTCTAATTTTTAAACGTGAAAGTAAAAAAAAACACCAGATACTGAATTTGATGCAACCTACTGTGTGGGCACCGATGCATAGAAGCCATGATAAATCATGTGCAAAGCCCTTTTGTCAGTCGTCAGCTGGATGAAGGCCTCCTCATGCCATGGGGGGTTGTGGGGGTAATCTATTCCATTCTTCACCACACTGGTGAGTGCGAGTTGGTTTAAGGCGGGCAGCATAGACGTTAGAGAAAAGTAAAACACAAAAATCATATTTGACCACTTCCCACTGCTGATAACACACCTGTGCAGCTGCCTACAACATTCAATTTATGGTTACTCCCATTCAAGCACTCTCCAAGCCCAACCCTGCTTAGGTTGACATCTAAATAAATCAGGCACATTCCCTAGAATCTGGCGATAAGTAATTTAAATCACGGGGACCAAAAACTTATTCTCCTCTGGGATAATGGAAATAGAGTTCCAATTTGCTCAAGTGAGTGTAGGGTGGTCCGCATCTTTATGAGCAGCCCTCAAATAGTGGTGAATATTTATTTGTCAGGGGTCGGATTCTGCAAAGGACAACCTCTTAACAAAGTATTGCTATATATTTAGATATTTGTAACTCAACTCCCGAATGGGAATTGTATTAACAGTGAGACAAAACTCATAACACTCAGTGAGGCTTTACTAAATAAATGGACATCATTGCTGTTTAGAAGAATCCTGCTTGGAATGTGTCCAACTGCTTTTCAATGAAATTTTTTTTTTATGTCCAAGGTAAATTTTTGGTGTCGAAGTATCTGAATAAATACTCTTTGGTTCTTTCGGTAAAGTCACGTAGGTAGAAAAATAATAATAGATCACGACGTTTCGATCGCCACACAAGCAACCGTCTTCAGGTGAGATAGAGAGACAGGCTGCTGCCTTACAAACACCCCCTTATAGAGCAATGGATGTAGGAGTGTCAAGCATATAGTATTCAGTATGCGCCATGCAGAGTATAATATAGAAATACACGAGAGACATGAAGTCCTGCAGGTAGGATCCCTTGACCGAGGATATTTGGTGGTGTTTCCCAGTTGCTTCTGGCAAGTGGCAATCTGCTTGCGTGTGTGTGTGACGGGCAGCGTCCAGCCTTCGTCTCGGTATGTCTTCAGCGCATCATACAAGAATGCCTCGGCTTTTTGCGGCTCCCCCTTTCTCCTATACAACGGACACATACACAAAGGGGCACAGACTCAGTAAGCACACACACAATGTAGACGATCCACATATCCCTGCACTCAAGCAGAGGGTGCAGGGCTTATGGCCGAGTCTTAATCGTACAAACCCGAGTTGCCCCCGAAAAAATGCAGTGAAAAAAACAAAATAACCAGCACAGATGATGGGAGATACCGCCACATGAGTTTGCTGTGCGGAACTGCGTGCATGAAGCAGTGTGGGCTCTCACATGTGATACTCCGCCAGGTCCTTGCCTATCAGTCGGGCTGAACGAATCCTCCCTATGTGTTTGTATGTCCCCATTGCAATCTCCGACAGCTCCTGTCAGCAGTCACACACGGTCACATTCAGTGTTCACGCCAACCTTCACAGGTGCGTTTTTCGAGAGGTATTGCCTGCCAGTACTTAGTCTGCAAAGGGAACTACAAGATCCCAAGGCAAAGGGAGCTGTGTACAAAAATGGAAACTATGGCCTTATGTAAATGAGCTCTATGCAGTTCATTTGATCTATACTAATGCGTCATACACAGCATATATATTTAGCATACTAGCTCTGACAATGCTTGCTTGCTTAAACGCCAAAAGCCGTGGCATGCACCAAACGGGCAGCAAATCCATTTGCTGCAGTGTCCTAATTGAGACAATTAGCGATGAGTGTGTGAGCATTGTAACAATCACAAAGATCAAAGGACATACATTGACACATGCTCATTCGCAACACTTCACCTCATTAAAACATCATTCCACAGTATTAATGATCTACAAGTACAGCCATGCTTGTCAATCCACTGTTAGATGAGAATCTCCCAATGCGGTGCGGGTCATGAGGGAATTATGACTACCCTTCAACACGATGGTCAATATGGGTTGGTGAGGGCGAGGAGCATATACATTGGATAATAGTACAGTACAATAATGGATATTGTTGCACTGCCCTCTGCTGAAAAGAATCCCCACCAGTTTTATGCATGGCAGTCACCCATACCAGCACCTAGCGAGGTTCAGATTTGCTTAGCTTCTGAGATCTGACAAGCTTGGGTATGGTCAGATAGCCCCCATGACCCACACTGGATTCTGGCTGATTTGCTCATCGGCAATTGTAATAATAATGATTGCACATCACAATGCGTTCATATTATCCCATACCATGTAATGCTTCTCATAGGCTTCCATTGAAGACAGGGCTTCTCTTAGCTTCTTTCCAGGGTTGTTAATGTTGCTTGCTGCAAATAAATAATCAACTGAATAAACAAAATTAATCACAAAAAACAATGACATAAAATGAGCTCCATTACTTAGGCATAATAGTCAGTATGTGGGAGCATAGAAGCTATTCTTGATTTGATGCTTTCGTGACTGCATAAATCCAAAGAGTATAGATGCTATTATTAAATGTGTAAATACTTTAGAATTAAACCTCATTACCACGTTCCCATTGCTTGTGTATTCCCACATCTTTAATCTCATTCTTTAAGTCTGAAATATTCCTACCAACAGGATTTTTAATTTACTTGCAAAAAGTAACTCTCTAATTCATGTTTTCCCATGAGATAGATATACAGCATCAGACAGGTATTGATAGATTGAGATAAGCATTACAGCAGAAACCCATTACATGAAATGCATATTTTTTTATGGCAAGAAATAGCCTTCCCTGGTTAAATGTTTTGCTGAATTTCAAGTTTAGTTTCTGGTCCTTTGAAGAACATGAGATCAAAGCTTCACTCTTGTTTACTTTAAACTACCCCAAGTAGTGTTTCTTATAGTTGCTTACAAAAGGCAAATACATTGTGAATGTTCATACAATAGTAGGTAACTTTCTTTGCAAGTGGTTATGATCATGCAAATGCCCACAGAGGGATAAAAGGCAATACATCTTAAAATTGACCATTTAAAAAATCGAATTCGAGTATCATGAGTATGGGAACGTAGGGGGCCAAAAAGGCATCTGCACGCCAAATTTCAGATATGGAGAAAGCCATTTGCTGTGCCCCATAAATTAATAGCCTACTCAGGAGCCCTTGGTCCTTAGGCATAGGCCCCCATGACTGCTTACCTCCAGAACTACAGAATAATTCCCATGCACCTAACTATTATTGAATAAACACAGATCAGAGGCCCCATTCTCTAATAGGCACTGATGATGTTAATCCCTGCTATTGGTCCTGAGTCAATGGTGAATATTCCACATTGTCATGATGGGAACCAGTTAATATATTTGTATAGACTAACAGGGACAGCTAATTAACAGTGACTGCTGACATTTGACTAAACGGTGTTACTCGTAGCCTTGTGTAAATGAAACAACGCTGCCAGGGAGTGCTCCATAAACTGTCATCCATAGCCTGTGCATGCTCCATCTTACGACTGTCTTCGTCGTCATCCCGCAGGCCAGCCAGCAGGTCCACTGTGCGGTTCAGCTCCTCCGAGTCTGGGCCATTAGGAGACATAAGGCCACACAGAGAGCCCAGGCCTTGGAGCTGTAAGTAAACATGCATAAATGTAGCACAAGCTTGCTTGTTTAAACACAAACATGCACAATTGCAAGCAAGCATGGCACATACTAGAATTTGTGTTGATTTTATATATCTCAAGGATAGAGCCGTGGCTTATTGTCTATAATGTAGACTGTAGCAATAGTTAATAAACTGAGTGAGCATACTGGCAGTCTATAATGTAGACTGTAGCCTGGTTCTTAACCTGAGTGAGCGTACTGGCAGTCTATAATGTAGACTTTTTTTTCACAAATCAAGTCATGACCATTGCAACAGTCTACAGTTAATCAACATTGCTACAGTCTACATTATAGACTGCCAATACGCTCACCAAGCTTAAAAACCAGGCTACAGTCTACATTATAGACTGCCAGTACACTCACCGAGGTTAAGAACCAGGCTACAGTTTACATTATAGACTGCCAGTACGCTCACCGAGGTTAAGAACCAGGCTACAGTCTACATTATAGACTGCCAGTACACTCACTCAGCTTAATAATCATTGCAAGTCTGCATTATAGACTGCGAGTACATTCACCAAACTTAATAACCAGGCTACAGTCTACATTATATACTGCCAGTACACTCACTCAGATTAAGAACCAGGCTACAGTCTACATTATTGGTTTTATTCATAATAAAGGTTTTTGGGTTAGATCGCGTTTATTTATAAATGTGTCGTAACCCTCCACCACCCGACACGGCCAATTAGCAAAAAAAAGTGTCACGTTGACAAAAAGACAAATAATTCACTACTTTAGCCCACCGGTGTGTTGAAGAGTGAATCCACATTTACAGTTTGAGTACATTGGTTATTGGTTTTAGTTTTTTATTATTTTGACTTCATTTAATTTTCATTATTTTGTATTTTTATTCACTTTTTATTTTTTTATTTACGTGACTTTACCAAAAGAACCAAAGAATATGGTAAATTCCCTATTCACCAATCCACACTTATTAGAATGAAGTATGGTCAGACCCAACCGCCATGACTAACATTACATGGGGAGGTGGGCTTCATCCAGCAGTGTATTGACAAAGGGATAAACATTGTTATGGAAACCACAATTGGTCTGGAAACTATTCATAATATACCAACTAAATAACCAAACAGGCATCTAATGAAAAGGGTCATGAAACACTGTAATATTTTTTTGGATAAACAAAAACATTATTATTTGTGGATGGTAACCAGAAAACATTGTTACATCATAAGCAAATAGACTGGTTTAAATAAAATATTTTTACAAAACAACTCATGAGCAATAATATTAAGTTATTCATCACTTACAAATATTACAAAATAATTCGACCTTTATTATACTAACTTTCCAGTGCAGACAGTTGCAACCAGTTTGTGTTCCATAATATACAAAGGGCTTCAAAAAGCGTTCCTCTAAAGCTAGGCTAAGTTTGCACTGAATTTAATTGAAAACACAAAAATCACGAGCAAAACATTTAGTCTGAGAGCTTCATAACCAAGTATCAATGTCCCATTGCATGAAGGCCTGCACAATGTGTGCATCCTGGTTTCTGGGATTAATATATATTTTAACTAAACTAGAAACTATATTTAATTTTACCAGGTAAGGCCCACTAAGCTATATAGGTTTTTTTTTTTAGAAGCAACCTGGTCACGAATGATATTTCAATGACATAGCCTTATCACGTGAAACGTCATAGCAGCCAAATACTCTAAAATTGAGTGTGCAAGATGCCCACCTTTTCCCGTGCGTATGCCCGCAGCCCGGCCGCATAAGCAGCGAACGAGTCATTCTGGTTGGTGTCGCAGAACGTCTCGATCCTTTGCAGCACCTCCAGGCAGCTGATGTAGACCCAGCAATCAACCGCACCCACTGGCATTTGGATCTGGGAATTTCAATGTGAGCAATATCATTTGGAGACTGCATTGATTTAATAGACCATAATAAAGATAACGGGATCTGTTGAATTGCTAAAATAAAAAAATGTTCCTTTAACATGCCTTCTTTAAATATATCTCTGTACTATTTATTTTAATTAAATAAAACAAACAAAAAAAGAGCTATAATTTTATAGACATTTAAGTACAGTCTCGATTTGGTGCTTTTGTGACTGCAGGAATTAATCTTTGTTTTTTTCGGTAAAGTCACGTAGAAATAAGAAAAAATAAAATTACATAATATACGACGTTTCGATTGGCCTCGGTACAGAGCTGCTTTACCTCTTAACTGTGTGCGTGTCTCCCCCCATAGGTCTCTCTACGGTATGTATTCTATCACTATCTTAAATTTCACACTCAACTTACAATTTAACAATCTTTGAAATAGTGTATTCAACCAGACCATGCGTTAATTGTTTTAACCGGCCGTCTGTGTTGCTTTACATAGTTTCCAAATTTTGCTATACCCTGTTTGATTTAGTGTGATGCTCCGTCTCTCTGTATCCCCTGGTATATCTGTGTTAATTCCCTCTACTTACGGTCTGTATATATATCTGCGGTTGTGTTTCCTCTACCTGATGATGATTGCTTGTGTTGCAATCGAAACGTCGTATATTATGTAATTGTATTTTTTCTCATTTCTACGTATTTAAGTACAGTCTTTGTGTACTACATCTGCATGCACACAGGGCCCCCCTTACTTATTTAGAAGCCCCTACATTATTTGTGCATCTCTCTCCATACATCTCTATCTGTCTTTATGAATCTCTCAATGTATTTCTCTGTGTTTATACCAGTCTGTCTTGTCTCTGTGTCTCTCTTGCCATGTTTACATGTTTACATGACCATGGAGGCTCTCTGGGGCATGGCGGTGATATCACGGGGATATGCCGCCTCACCTTTGTGAAGACTCTACACTACATCTATCTCATGACACATCAAGTCAACAATCAATGGGAAGTGTCAAGTCCGTAGAGGCTGCGCTAAATCCTGTTGCTGGAAATAATACAGCACCCAATTTGTTTTTGCATTGCGCTTTCTTTTTACACGACACATTCACATCTCAGCAGTATATTACTGGTAAACTAACCCCCCTGGATAAAACAATCTTAGAGACAATGTATATATACAGCCCTTTTGTCAATATGTTGCTCGATGAGAGCCTCCCAATGACATGAAGGTCGTTGGGGTTATTTGATCGTACATCAATACATTGGTCATTACAGGTTAGTGACAGTGGGGTGGCACAGATGTGGGCATATAGAAGTACAGTAAAACAAATTATTTTTTGCAGTGCCCTCTGCTGGCCAAAATGTAGTCCGCAGCCTATAACAATCTGATTTGTATATGGTGGTCACCCATCGAAATCACTTTCCCTTGTTTATCCTGCGACTCCTGATGAGATTGGGTGCATTTCTGGTGATGTGGTTACGGGCCTTAAGAGACAATAACCATTCCACTAATGATTAACAATGAATGTGTTCAGTATTCTGTGGTGCCAAGTCATATAAGGATGGATCTTGACCAATCACGTTTGGTTTATCATGGCATACTCGGCTGCCGAGACCTCATGTGAAGCGCTGCTGCTGCTACGTTTGTGCTGTACCTCCAGCATGCGCAACTCCAACACAGAGTTATGCAGCAACTCAAGGGCCCGGTGCGCCACCTCCCAAGGCCGCTGCAGGAAGAAGAGAAGCGTGCACTGGCGCGAGAATAGGTAGCTGCGCAGATCGAGCAGCGAAGCCTGCCCCGTCTGCACCGCCTCTCGTTTTCCCATGTCGATCGGCCGCCACAGTGCCAGGCCCACCCAGCTGCTGACTGGCCGACGGAAGCTTGACAACCAATCGGCGGTGTCTGCACAAACACGCACAAGCACGCATGCGTCCGCGTGGTGTTAATGAGAATGGTGCCATTAATGTAACCGTGTGTCCAGGAACGCTGCACTGATTCTCAGGACCCTGATTAATGCTTACCAAATAAGGCTGAAAGTATTCATGTATTAACACTGTCCTTCTGTCTGTAAATCTGTAAAATATGGTCAAAATAACTCTCGTGAAAATGATCCGATATAATTTAGTTTAAACTTGTGTTGCTGTCTGGGCCTTAACCTACATATAAATGTGCCAATTGATCAATGGGTTGCCCAAAACTTGCAGAAAAAAACTACAACAAATTACCTGCATTTGTAAGAGCAGAATGTAGCCTCACCAATGTGAAGTTGAACAAATTTCACCATCTTGCATAAGGACACTCCATTATTGATTTGACAGGAGCTATTCTGACATTCAATACAATGAGACCATGGAACAATTTTCTATCCAAAATGCTCACTTCTGTTTAATGTTTACAGTAAATTGCATCTATTATATATTGACTTAAAGTTTTCGTGAAGATGACCGCTTGTGTTGCAATCGAAACGTCATAGTTTTTGTTTTTTGCTATTTTCTTTGAACCTATCTATGTGATTTTACCGAAAGACCCAAATAATATGCATCTATTATGTCCGACTACTCAAGAGCGATACAGCCCGCAGGGGTGATGGGGCGAGACTTGTTACCTCCGGCACCAAAGTTGACGACGTACTGAGTGAAGAGAGCATCGAGCTCGTCGTACTGCACCAGTGCATCTTCATACTGCTTCAGCATCTCGAACACAAACGCTAGTTCCTCCTGCAAGCATGCAGGCGAAGATGACAAACAAATCCCCATTTAATCTCACAGACCGGCCCACAGTAATAAGTGCTGTTAGCGATTGCCTATTAGCACTAATATTAACATGCCACGGGCGGTCGTGTAACCAGCACCACAAATGTCCGGTCACCTCTGTCTCCCGATTGCCAATGTTGACCATACCACTTATCAGGTATTCATGTTATGCTGAGTATTACTTTACAAAGGCCACTGATGTTGTTCCTCATGGCCGGCAATTGAAGACAGGTCACCGAGCTCATTAGTGTAGCCGAGTGTATTAATCAATGTGGAGTGAGTCCAACTGAGTCGCAGACGTTATTCTTTAGAGGCAACACATTTATTGTAACACGGAGAAACAAAGGGGTAACTGCCCCTTTACCAGATACAGCCTAGAGTGGTGACCACCCAGATAACTGCACTATACGTAGGAGTTACAGCGACGAAGGGTAGGACCCCAACGTCGACAAGCTTCCAGCACGTCGACGTGGAGCTTCCAGCTAGTAGAACGAAGAGACTCCGGGTCCCTCTCAGCGACCCACGTTACATCCCCCCGGGTCGGGGCCTGCTCCGCCCTCGGCCCCGCCCGCCTTCTTGAGCCTTCTAGCTCCCTCTCGATCCCTCTCGAGAGCTCTCCCTGGACACGTGATCACCCCCTAGCCCCCCCACCTGGGGCCTCCTTTGTGGACACTTCAAATCACGTGTCTACGGAGTCAACCAGAGTGCCATGGCCTGGGGCAACCCTGTCCCTGGGCTGACACTCTCCCGCTCCCCCTTGTGTGGTGCCCGCGCTAGCCCAGCGCTCACCAAGCCCCACTAGGGCTGGTACTACACCCACCTACGGGGTGTACACGATGACGGTGCATCGCACGCCGTGCTGCTCTAGAGCCGGCCCCACACAGCAACCCACCCGGTGCTGTCCACGACGCTACAGCCCTCCCGGGCCGGCACCATAAATGCACACACACACTCTGCCACATTCCCCATTTAAACAGGCAAACCATTCCATTAACAACCATCTGCAAACAATATATCTTGACATATGGAACTGTTTAAACAATCCATGTAAATAAGGCCACGGGTCTCTAAGAGTAGTTAACAATATCAGGGTTGAGTGGTCATAACAGCTCATGTCGATAAGCCACCACACCTCCCCTTTGCCGACTTCCCACTGCTAGATCCCACAGTTAATGCAACGCTTACACCCAATATCCAAGAACCTATTTTATGGAATCCAGTCATCTGCCTTTAGATGCTAATGTAATCGCTGGAATAAATAAGCCTGCACTCGATTAATTAGTGGCATGTATTAAATTAAAAAAGTCATTTTTGTTGTATAAAGAACGGCTGACAGCTGAATAAACAGTGATCTCTGCTCAAAGAAAAGAGGAATCCGTTCTATATGTGATAGAATGGTCTGCGTTGGATTAATAGAGGGCAACATGTGCATTGACCGTTGCGCGCCACCCGGCCCCGCGCGCACGGACCTGCACCATGAAGTAGTGGCAGAAGCTCCAAGAGGGGTGCGTGCGCTTCTCCCGCAGTGCCCGCATGTCATCCTCGAAGCGACCCAGGTTGCGCGTGAACGACATTAGCAGCAGCGTGCGCAGCTTCGCCACGAAGGAGGCCCACGACTCCTGCGCTTTACTCGAGTCGCGCAGGGGGTCGGTTAGCACGACACACCTAAAGACGGCGGCGGCGGCGGCGGCGCCGCGGCCCAGGGGGCAAAGGGGGGAGACGCACGGGTGTCAGGAGACCGTTCTTACACGAGGGTCTGGCTTGTTCGTACGTAACGATTCAATTGCACCGAATTGAGATACATGTTTAATCAACGTATGCTCAGACTTACAAATAAGCAACATAGATGTAGACAAAAAATATTTAACCAAAGCTGAAATGTGCATAAAGAAAACGAGGTTCATGCTTACAATAACAATGAGAGACAGAAAGAGGAACACATGAATTAGAGAATGACTGCTAAAAAAAAAAGCACGCTCGGGCTAGAAAGGACAATAGCGATGCAAGAGATTAATGATGGAGTGTAAGAAAAAGCAGAGAATATGCGAGAAGATGTCGAGCACAGAGATGGAGTGATTAAATTAGATCATGTGCAGGAGCTGGACGAATTGATACATTGTGGGACTGAGATATGGCGACGGCTTGGGTAGGCCTGAATTCAGCAGTGGCGGATTGATGATGGCTGTTGATAACGAACATTTCATCGATTAATGCATACAATTGTCTAACTAAGATCCTAATATTTACAATTTATATAATGTATTACTCAGCATAATGGTTCAAACAAGACAGAAAATAAATATGAGACAGTCCAAAGGAAAAATTAAATAATTGATTCTTGAATGAAATCATGACCCATAATTGTCAAATATCAATGAATTGTGTTGGGGGTGTATTGTTACACGTCTACGACCAATTCCCGAGAACTGTTTTTGCGTGGGAGAAAACCGGAGTGTCCTGAGAATCCCCAATGCAATTTGGAATAAATATGATCAAACGCTGATATTCAGACAGCTTAATAATCTACGTACTGTACTGTATCTTACAGACATCTTGCTGCTCTACACAGTGTTTAACAAACATTATTACGTCCATACAAAGTTTGAAACCTCCTACAAATACCTGTTGCAGACCTGCACTGCAAATGCCAAGGGTTACATATTGACATGTTGGTGAATATTACTTTTCCACGCACTTTTTTCCGGAGATGTGGAGATATCTCCATTACGTATAGCTGGGCAAAGTGACGAGGTAATGTGATTCAAATGTATTTCTAAAACATAAATCCGGTCCCTAAAATGAAAAGCAACATCTAAAAGATAACGTCATATTTGGCAAGTGGGAGACCACACTAGCTAATAAGACTATACCCTGAACCAAACTAGCTAACCCAACGCTATTCTCAAACAACCAAAGTAGCCAAACAAACCCTAACACTATCCCTATCTCTGACCATATGCCTAGCCCTAGCTCCACACGATAACCCTAGCCCTATACGTGCCAGCGCCCACCACAGCTGCCTCACCGGTCACTCTGCTTGTTACAGAAGTCGTTTCTGATCTTGTCGATGATTGAGGTGCGTGGCAGGGCAATGGGCTGCTTCTTCTTTCGGTTCTCATTCTCCACTAGCACCACCAGCCAGTCGGGGCTGTTGTACGCACGCAGCAGCGACTGCCAACGCGTGATCTCTTCCTTCGTCGACGCCTTGTACACTTCCGACTCCTGCATATAGAACCCACAGCCGGAAAAACTTCTGGTTACCCGATGCCAAGACTACCACAACTACCACAACCACCTCCACCAAACAACAACAACCGCCATTCGCCACTAAGTGGCGGTGACGTCACCACGACGCTTGTGCCAGGCCATGTGCACCTTAAAGCCACGTGAAGTGTCAAACGCCCGCTGGCAGGAGGTCACGGGGCAGACCCAAGTGCCAAACACATCCATCACCACCAGCATTACCTGAAGTGTAAAAGTCCCAAATCATGGTCCAATAGATTGTTTTCCTTTGGCAGTTCAGTAACAATATGGAAACTTTTTGATTTAAAGCTTTCGTGACTGCAGTAATTCATATTCTTAGTTTTTTCGGTAAAGTCACGTTGAAGAGAAACAACAAAATAATAAAATATATATAAAACAATAAAAAATTCTCACGACGTTTCGACCATAACGGTCATCTTCAGGTGAAGATGACCGTTTGAGTTATGGTCGAAACGTCGTGAGAATTTTTGTTTGTTTTATATATATTTTATTATTTTGTTTCTCTTCAACGTGACTTTACCGAAAAAACTAAGAATATGAATATGGAAACTCTAAACCATTTTCAGCTGCACTATTTTGAAAGTGGTAATGTGATAATGAATGACAAACATTTAATTTTGTTAAAGTCCGTGGTTTTCTACTCGAGCAAAGCGAGATGCTCATAACCTCTTGATAGCTCTGAAAAGGTGATGTAAAGCCCATATTCTGATTGCAGCAGTCAGTCAATCCAGAGAACAGTTGCCATTGACTTCTCAACGAATGCTGCTCATCTTTATGAATCCTGACAGACATAAAGTATTTTTGGAATTGAATTGACCAGAGAAATCAGAACGTGATAACTTAGGCTAACTTAAGTTTCCTGTGCAAATAGCTTCCAAGTGCATAGTTAATCTATGGTGCTCATGTTAGCAGTGTAATATGTAAGTGCATTTAAAAGTGGGAACATGAAACATAATGCAACCAATTTTACTAGGAGCTACATTGAAAATGTCAATTTAAAGCAAAGTTATGGTTTCACAGTCATTTTAAGTTTCATATTATTACACATTATCATGTACACATGTTGTTTTCATATTGTTTTTCATGACTTTCTTTTTCAAATTCATACATTGCATAACAACCTCCACACATACCTACTCACCTACTTACACACCCAAAATGGGCATTACGTTTCCATTAACATGCTTAACAGCACGCTTGATGTTGTGCTGATAACTCACACAGCAATCCGTCCAGAATATGTGCAGGAAGGGGAATGTAAGCAGGGCCTTGCTTCCCTCCTTTGGCAGCAGATCTTCCTTGAACGCCACAAAGTTCGCTTCAAGGTTGATCATCTTTGGGGGACGCCCATATGACCTGCGCATGGCACCCATTCATTGAGTCACCCACTTCGTTCACAGAAATGCAACATTCTCAAAATCTTGCTACAGATGGACATTAATGCTTAAAAGGTAATTCATAAAATTTGTAACCAAAATTTACTTTTACTTATGATGTAGATTCCAAAATAGGCCATGTGTTGCGGGCTTTCTGACATGAGTCGAACCTTCATGAGTAAGAAACGAGACCTGAGAGTGATTTTTTTTATACAGTACATAGCATCAGTAATAGCTGAGGCACATATTGATGCCGACAATGCCGCTCCCCTCATCATCATCATCTCACAGATCTCCGAGAGCCTCGTGCACATTCCCTTATGATGGTGTTGACGGCAGTGTTGCGAATGGAGATGGTGATGTAATCGCCCTCACGCACACCGCCATGACCTTCGTGTACGTTCGATTATAGTACGAATGGTGATGGTGCTTATTGCAATAGTGTTGATGACATGTCACTGCAGTGACATGCTGTGGTCATGTCCCTGTAGTGATATGAGAAAAAGTATGTCACAAATTCAAGTTAAAGTCTATTATTTAAAACTACACATCAAACTCGTGTTGAACAACTCAGGACATGCAGCCTAGATACAAGAAAATTCATTTTTTTTGGTTGCAACCTACTTTAATGTTTGATGGCTCAGAAATATTGTAAGGTGTGTCAAATGCAGACAGACAACACTTACCGCCTCCATTCAACTGCTTCTTTTGGGAGTTGCTGCACCAAGGTTTGGTAAATAGATGAGAAGAGAGATTGGTCTCCACCACCTGCATGCGATGAGAAATATAGCCCCTGATATTAGACAAAACAGCTGTGTTTACCATAAGCAAGTTCTGAATGTTTAGGATTTGTTAAACAAAAAACATATCTGGTTAAAGGGCACCAACCAGTAACAAAACCAAATTCAGATAAAAACCATAGCATGCACTGTCATGCTATAGTAATAATAATGATGCACAATCCTTTGTCAATCTACTGAGGAATCAAGGCCTCCTTCTTCCTTAAGTCGACATGGTTTTGGGTGTTAACCGCACTGTACCATGCTAGTCGGTGCAGGTTGGTGAATGGGTGCGGCACCCAGTACCGATTCAGACCAACTGGACATCTGTGAAAAAGAGCTTCATAGCTTATCGGATTTCTCCAGGATAAATATTATGATTCTGAGAGCTCACTCGCCACCATTCTTAGCCGTATACAGGAATAAAACTCAGGTCGCTGGGTTCATATCCCAATTCATTAACCACTGCACCACCTATCTTTACTTGCATGCTGGATTGTGGGTATCACATTATCATACAAAAGTGTCTGCTACACTACTTTAAAATAAAACAAAAAATGCACTACCTGAATATTGGACTTTTGGTCCAACATTTTACATCGGCATGTGTTAATGCAAGGAAACTGGCCTGGTTTTGCATTTCTGTCGTGTATTGAATAGACCCCATAATATTCAGGCAACACAGAAGCATTTTTTAAATTTGCCACGGTCTGCTAAGGCTCATAAATGTGAGAACGTCCATAATTTTTAAAAATGCAGCTGAAATACATTCGTCCAAAAACCCATAGGCTGACTCACAGGTCTTGTACTTAAGGTGGTGATGCCAATACTGTACTGTAGTTGTCAACATTTAACTTCGTGAGAGCCCAATGACGCAACTCTCTTTTAATGTACCGTATTGAAATACTAAATGTAAACAATTGACCTAAAAGGGCTCTCGCACGTTTAATAAACATAAGTTCAATTAGTACAGCACTGTGCTGTTAAGATATACAATTGTATTACAATAATGTATACCACGCCAATGACTAAATCACCCGCAATGCGCCCGATCTCGAAAGCTAAGTCGAGTTGAACCTGGATAGTGCTTGAATGGATGACCACCATGACTTAATGTATGAACTTCTTTCGTGCCGTACGTAGCCAACCGTGATCGGCTCCTTCGAGGATACGTTGTGGGGAGCAGAAAGTTAGTGAAGCAAAATCCATCGTTGAACAGTACGCTGCTCCCACGTCTATGCTCCCCGCACTGACCAACCCACACTAACCATCGCGGTGGCACGTTCTGTTTACGTGGCAATCCTTACTAGATGGCTGTGTCGGGTGGTGGCAGGTTTAACGACACATATTTACGCGATATAACCCCCCCCCCAAAAAAACCTCTTATGCATCGCGGTGTAGTATGGTCATAATATCTCCCACGGCCATCACGGCGAAGAAGAGGCCCTAACCTAGCAGTGCATTGCCGAACGGGCTTGACACGTACAAGATATACCCACCATATTAAAACACGAACATTCGAATTAATTGCTCCGAACCTTCAAGTACTGCGTATCGCTATTGTCCACGTTCGTATGGCGGGACCTACCTACAACTACAGTACACAATTAAACCTCAGCAATGTTTTACATCACAACCAAATGCATTGAAGAACCGCGCACGTAAAATATTGCAGTATTCATGTAATTAAAACAATAACCGTTAATAGTTAAACAAATTTGAGATTTATAGTTCATGAAGCATTTGGGGCCTGGGCCGATTCGAGGAGCAGTCCCAGGCCAGACCCACACATTGATTCAGACACACACACACACGCGTTAATATTGTATCTTACACGTCACTATAGGCCGATTCTCCATCGTGTAGACCACTGGCTTTTCCTCACTCGCCATGGCCAAAGTTTTGTTGTTTATTTCCGTGTCTTTAATTCTTTATAAAAATAAACATCTAAGCTGATTACTGTACAGCCAGAGACGCCGGGGACCCCGCGACGTCACTTCCGACAACACGGCTCGCTAGCGACGGCGATGCCAGCTCAGAGGGGGGAAACCCTCCAGATCAAGGGGGTGAGAGGTGGGTGGGGGGTGACAAAAACCTCTAGAATTCCATCATCGTTGTCATCAGCCTTCTATGTTTGTGTTGAACTTCTTTCGCACCGTACGTAGCCCAACCGTGGCTAATCGGAGGTGCGGGGGAAGGACAACAAACTAGACACAAAAATAAGTTCTATAAAGAAATGAGTTTGTGAAGCTAGATTATTTAAAAGTACGTAGCTCCAGTGGCTTCCTAATATCGGAAGGAAGAGAAGAGCGTTCCAGACGGCCGCAGAAGCGCGTCTGAAAGCGCCACGCGATGCGGTGACCACCGTCTCTGTTCGATGGCTAGCCATGAACTGTCTACTGCTGGATGAGTGCGTCCCCAAACCCATCGCTATCCAGCACTGTGCTGCCATGCAATAACAATAATAATTAATAATTACACCTGACACAGGGGTCAGGAAGCAAAATAACAAGAACCACATTTTTTTTCCAATTCAGTGAAAAAAAACCCCTCAATATTTCAAGAGCCGCCGCAATGTCCACGAGAATACGTCGATACGGTGGTCCTGGGTGACCAACGTCACGAAGCAGTCTTCAAAGGGCCACCTGGTGGCTGACCCCTGCAGCGACCTCCTAAAAGAGGACAATCCTGGGATATACAGGGACAGCTGACAACCGCACCAAATGAGTGACAGCAAAACAGGTCCCTTGCAGGGTGAGCTGGTAGGAACATTGGAATTTTGCGCAATTTTATGACATTGTTACGCATTCCTGTTACGTGACTTCCAAATGTTGGGTGCAATAAGACATATCAAGTCTCTGCGCTGTCTATTGCTGATTTTACACCCAACAGCACGAGATTTCACTTCGTTAAAGTATTGAAAGGGGACGGACGGATGGACACATTAATCTATTGCAGGCTGGTACACTCATAATACACATTACATTTTGATTTAAAGAATTACTAATCTACAACTCATTACTAATCATAACCAATGACTGATTACTAATCGATTATATAATTACAATACCCCCCCCCCTCCGCCTCTAATCACTGCACCTGAAATGAGTTAAATGATGATGTCACCCTGCTGCTCTATTTAAGACCGGGAGCAAGCGAGGGCTTTACCATTCTGGCGAATTGGTTGATGATGCTGGATGTATTTACCAGCGAAACGTCGTACTCAAACTGTAAATGTGGATTCACTCTTCAACACACCGGTGGGCTAAAGTAGTGAGTCTTTTGTCAACGTGACACTTTTTTTGCTGATTGGCCGTGTCGGGTGGTGGAGGGTTACGACGCATTTATAAATAAACGCGATCTAACCCAAAAACCTTTATTATAAATAATATTGGTCGCAAAAGCCTACGTGTTAAACTGGTACACTCAGTTTACAACTTCGTTCCTACCAGTATAAGAAATAGTTGCTGTTCGGACTTTTCTAATTGTAAGCAAAGAAGCATGGAATGGTTTTGTGCTTAGAGTCACTTTGGGGGCCGACGCCCACCCCCTGTGCGGCCGCCTCTCGCCAGGCCCCCGCCGACGGGGCGATCGCCCGCGCCACACGCCCACGGTACCCCCCACCACAAAAGGTGAACGAACGAGGCGCCTTTCTCTCTCTCGCAAAAAGTTAGCGTTGAACAAAAGAACCGGCGGCGGTATGAATATGCACACCGCACTCCCCCCCCCCCCCCCCCCCCCCCGGGTGGATAAGCCTTAATCCGCTGTGCGAACAGAGGCTAATGCCAGCGGGAAAGGAACGGCGGGGATAGAGCGATGTGTTAACGCGCTGCGTAAACGCGCACGTGGGCGAAAGCACGCGCACACGAGGGCGGCCGTGTGTGCTGCAGGACACGCGCATCACGCCGGGCACACTCAAATCACTCGCACACTCTAATCACTCGCACGCTCAAATCACTCGCACACTCAAATCACTCGCACACTCAAATCACTCGCACCACCCCCACGCTGCAGCCCTGTGCTCACGCCGGGCACACCGTCGTTCCACGCAGACGCGCCACGCACAGATCACAGACGCTACGCCGAGGTTCTGCCCACCACACGCACAGAGATCACACGACACCGATGTTCTGTACTAGAGTTTATTAATGGCGCCAATACGCATTACCTGGAGGAGGAATATTTCGCGAGGAGAGCCTGGCATAACTCTGCCTGTGAACCCAGCTACTCAAACGTGCTACCATGTACCTCGTAGATGTACTCCCGGCGGCGCACTGACGCTGTGGGAGTCGGAGGGAGAGGGACAAGCGAAAACCTCGCCTATCACTGCCTCGTACAGTGAGGGAAAAAAGTATTTGATCCCCTGCTGATTTTGTACGTTTGCCCACTGACAAAGAAATGATCAGTCTATAATGAACAGTGAGAGACAGAATAACAAAAAATCCAGAAAAACGCATGTCAAAAATGTTGTAAATTGATTTGCATTTTAATGAGGGAAATAAGTATTTGACCACTCTGCAAAACATGAGTTAGACCTTGGTGGCAAAACCCTTGTTGGCAATCACAGAGGTCAGACGTTTCTTGTAGTTGGCCACCAGGTTTGCACACATCTCAGGAGGGATTTTGTCCCACTCCTCTTTGCAGATCTTCTCCAAGTCATTAAGGTTTCGAGGCTGACGTTTGGCAACTCGAACCTTCAGCTCCCTCCACAGATTTTTTCATGGGATTAAGGTCTGGAGACTGGCTAGGCCACTCCAGGACCTTAATGTGCTTCTTCTTGAGCCACTCCTTTGTTGCCTTGGCCGTGTGTTTTGGGTCATTTTCATGCTGGAATACCCATCCATGACCCATTTTCAATGCCCTGGCTGAGGGAAGGAGGTTCTCACCCAAGATTTGACGGCACATGGCCCCGTCCATCGTCCCTTTGATGCGGTGAAGTTGTCCTGTCCCCTTAGCAGAAAAACACCCCCAAAGCATAATGTTTCCACCTCCATGTTTGACGGTGGGGATGGTGTTCTTGGGGTCATAGGCAGCATTCCTCCTCCTCCAAACACGGCGAGTTGAGTTGATGCCAAAGAGCTCCATTTTGGTCTCATCTGACCACAACACTTTCACCCAGTTGTCCTCTGAATCATTCAGATGTTCATTGGCAAACTTCAGACGGGCATGTATATGTGCTTTTTCGAGCAGGGGGACCTTGAGGGCGCTGCAGGATTTCAGTCCTTCACGGCGTAGTGTGTTACCAATTGTTTTCTTGGCGACTATGGTCCCAGCTGCCTTGAGGTCATTGACAAGATCCTCCCGTGTAGTTATGGGCTGATTCCTCACCGTTCTCATGATCATTGCAACTCCACGAGGTGAGATCTTGCATGGAGCCCCAGGCTGAGGGAGATTGACAGTTCTTTTGTTTCTAGATTTAAAGCTTTCGTGACTGCAAGGATCCATACTCTTTGGTTCTATTTGCCAAATAATTGCACTATTGTTGTCACCTTCTCACCAAGCTGCTTGGCAATGGTCTTGTAGCCCATTCCAGCCTTGTGGAGGTCTACAATCTTATCCCTGACATCCTTGGAGAGCTCTTTGGTCTTGGTCATGGTGGAGAGTTTGGAATCTGATTGATTGATTGCTTCTGTGGACAGGTGTCTTTTATACAGGTAACAAGCTGAGATTAGGAGCACTCCCTTTAAGAGTGTGCTCCTAATCTCAGCTCGTTACCTGTATAAAAGACACCTGGGAGCCAGAAATCTTTCTGATTGAGAGGGGGTCAAATACTTATTTCCCTCATTAAAATGCAAATCAATTTATAACATTTTTGACATGCGTTTTTCTGGTTTTTTTTGTTATTCTGTCTCTCACTGTTTAAATAACCCTACCATTAAAATTATAGACTGATCATTTCTTTGTCAGTGGTCAAACATACAAAATCAGCAGGGGATCAAATACTTTTTTCCCTCACTGTATGTCCTAACATTGCTGTTGTGTGTTTGTTGAAAGTGTGTGTACACGTGCGTGCGCATGTATGTGTTTTGTATATGTGTGTATGTCAGGAGCGGAGTGTAGCGGTTAGCTATGAACCCAGCAAACCGAGTTCGATTCCCCCTCACGCCCAACCCCAGTGACGGTCATCTCAACCGAGATCGCCTCCCCGAGGTCGACTCAGTCTAAAATGAGTACCTATTGCGGTGTGTAAACATAGCCACTAGGGAGGCAAAGGCGGTCAGGCATGGTGCTGGTCACCCACCCCTTGTGTGCCGTTTCAGCCTTCATAGGTGCTCACTAACTGCACTTGCCCCAACTTGCTACACGGAGCGGTAGTGTAGTGCTTAGCGCTACGCTGCATTAAAAAGCCGAGTTTCATTCCCGCTCAGGGCCACCACTATTGACAATTATCTGAACCGCTCCTGCAAATCAATCAATTTATAACATTTTTGACATGCGTTTTTCTGGATTTTGTTGTTATTCTGTCTCTCACTGTTCAAATAAACCTACCATTAAAATTATAGACTCATCATTTCTTTGTCAGTGGGCAAACGTACAAAATCAGCAGGGGATCAAATACTTTTTTCCCTCACTGTAGCAGCACTCGCTGGCATCACACGGATGCTGTATCGGGTGTGAGGGGCCGTTACCCCTCTAAGTATTAATAAAACTGTGTTGCCTCAGAGAAGTTCCCTTCTAGTCATTCAACCCACTACACCTATATAAAGCTACAACAGCAGATAATTATTTCTCACCTGATGACGGACGCTTGTGTTGCGAGCAAAACGTCGTTTCTTTTATTATGTTTCTATCTACGTGACTTTACCGAAACAAACAGAAAGTATGGATTCCTGCAGTCATGAAATCAAGACCAAAAATAATAAAAATAAAATAAAAAAATAAAAAAATAAAAGCAACATACAATAAAAAATGAAAATAAAAGCAAAAAACCCACGACGTTTCGATCACAACACAAGCGGTCTTCATCAGGCGGAGAGAAAAGAGGGGGCAAGCCTCCAAATGTAACTGCTTATAAGGGTTCCAAAGTGAGTGTG